GTGAACTAACTTAATTTTACTGAGCTATCCTAAGCGCGCGGGAGTTTCATAATGATCTCAAGGAGGCTAAGAGGCTAGCCGTTTCACTTAACAACAGAAAATCTATGTAGGTGTTAGCGTAGTTTTAGTAAGAAAATTAATAGCGCTTTTGATACATATATCAACTGCAACATATCAACTCCTTTTTATAACTTTATCAGTGATTTTCTGTTTGTGGACACAAAATTTTCCTGCTCGTGGTCGTGGTTGTGATCTCCCCAGTCAAAACATCGCTTTCTAGTATTGTTATTAAACTGAACAGTGAGAGAGAGAGAGAGAGAGAGAGAGAGAGAGATGTTATTATTTACATTGAGAAGCAAGAGTTAGGACGGCTTAGGATGAAACATATTTTTCCAAGTAAATCCCTTGTTTATTATTTATCAATCAACCCGGGGCGAAATTTTCATTTTTTTCACTGAAGTTTCCATCAATTTATAATTTCACAAATAATCAACTCCCAATATTACTTTTATTCTGACTTTCTACTGCTAAAGTTCCCTTAAGGTCAATTCGTGACAATTCTAGTGATGCCGATTACATTAATTGTGCTGCTTTTCAAGATTTCTCCCTCTAAGCATCTCGCTTGATTGCGACCTTGACGTACTTGATTCCAACTTTCTCTTCTTTATCACTTTTATAGACTTCAAGGGAGAGTCCCTTACTAAACATTAGCCGGTTGTTGTAGCCAGCGGTCCTCACAAAGCCTCCGTCATGCGCAAGGTAGCACGAGCCCCAGCGTTCATCCAGCTTGAGAGTGAAGACAAACTGACCGGGGTAGAAAGAGTCGCTGGGTTTAGGGAGAACCGGTTCACGTCGAGCAGATGTCAAAGTAGGGCCAGAAAACCCTTCCAATCCGTAGCATGGAGAATGATTGATGTAATTCCCCTTGTCAGTTGTTTCAAACCCAATAAATCTAGTACCGTCTGACACGCCATATCTGATATCGCTGTCATGCCCTTGTCCAATGCTGACGTCATGTGCAACTGTGATTTCTACGGTCAGCGGAATTGAATCCTTACAGGCACCGGCGGGAATCATAGGAACCTTGAGAAGAGCGGCTTCTGCTATTGAGCCTGCGTTGAATGTAAGTTGGTGAGCGGCAATTGTACGAGAACTGTCAATGTAGGAC